TCATATTTTACACGCCGACTCTTTTTGAAACCGTTTCAGGATCCTGTCCCGTTACGACCAAAACAACTCTTCGGACCTTTTCTCCTCCAGATGGAGCAAAAAAGCCGAACCGGACTTCTTCTTGACGTCCACCATCACCTCGCTAGATGACAGGTGAGGACATTCAGACTCCGTTTACCATCCGTCGTGATGACCAAGCGTGAAGACAAAGTCTGCTTCTAGGCCCGCCCCACGCAGGAAATCAGACCTGGCACCCGTCGTCGACACGGGAGAAGCTCGCAAGAAGTTCGGCCAGGACGTCAAAGCCATCTCTTCGGATATGTACTTTGGAAAGCAAGACAGCACAGAGGTACACGTTTTTCTTCAGCCAAAATGACTTACTTCAGCCCTCTGATTGGCTAAAATGGCTTTAAAGTTGGGTAGTAAGTAGCGCCATCTTTTGCTTTGGCATGCATTTGACACCCTGTGATTTATTAGTGTGTTTTTTGATCAGTATATTCAATCAGACATGACATGACAAGACATGTTTTTAATTGCAGGTTTACGGTTGGCTATAATAGCCACGGAGTTGTTGATTTGTCATACCTATTTCAGTTGAAAAATTGAGCTTGTTGTTGGCAGTATGAAGCCAGATCACGGCTGGAGAGACTTGCTGGGAGTTCTGCCATAAGTTCAGCCGACTTGTTTGACGATCAGAAGAAGCAGGCCGGTAAGTGTCTTGGCCTCGTTTGTGGTGACGTGCGCGCCGTAATCATGTGAGTTGTGTGTTTTGGCTTTTTCCTGTTGCAGCCAGCTCGTACCGCCTGACCAACGTGCTGCCAAGCGCTCCCGACATGTCTCAGCTGAAAATGGGAGTGCGCAGCGTCGCCGGAAAGCTCTCGGTCATGGCCAGCGGCGTCGTCAACACTATCCAGGTCCTCACTCGTCATCGTCAAATGCATTTTTCCCTTCCTTAAATGTCACATTAAATGGTTTTTTTTTTTTGTTTTTTTTTTTTTGGTGGGTGTTTTTTTTTTCTTCTTTTTTTAGGACCACTACAACAACTGAAGGATGAATCACTGCGATAAACTCGTCACAACATGATGGGAAGTAGACACAAAAAGTCCAAGGTGACGTCTTTTTGTACATAGAGTGGCACTTTGGACACAATGTTCACATCAACAAATGAGGCTTTACAAAGACTGTAGCGTCATTTTTTTTAGCTTTGTAAAGGCAGACGTTTGTGAATACGTTCCACTTTGATTTGTAAATAGATTAGCAACATATGGAGCCAATGTTATGAAGGTTATGGGTAAAATAAAAAAAGTGTCCTTTTGTTGCCCAAAGTGCTATTAAGCATATTGTGTGGCCTTGTCAGTTCATCTCAAGCTTGTTCTAATAGCTCTTTATGAATGATGAACACATCAGTCTTGAAATGTGCCGCTTTGCTTGGCTGCAAATGCAAAAATATCAAATGGATACAAGAAGTATCTTTTTTTTTTTTTTTTGACCCAAAAATGCACAAAAAAAAGATTTAAAAGCTATGAAGTCTGCTTATTGCTCGACTGGAACTGCTGCAGTTTTGCACTATAAAGTGAGATGTATTTTTTTCTTCTAATAATTAGACAATTTAAATATAGTTTTTCAAGATTTGCTGTTGATTTTGTGTTTGCTTTGAGTCCATTTTTGTCACTTTAAGACATTGCATATCTTTAATTTGGGCATGTATATAGGCAGACTGCGCCACTCTTGTTGTTTTAGTTTAAGTATTCGAGCTAGAGATCTTTATTTTCTTGACTCACGAGACCTGAATGTGGTGTAAAGGTGTTCATGTTGGGAGTCGTATCTACAAAATACTTGTGTACTGTATGTCATTCCAAAATGCCATCCATCAGTTATCTGATTAGAATGCTTTACTGTGGAGAAATATAGTTACTTTTTTTTTTTTTTTTGCATTTGACCAAAATTTGCAGCTTTTGCTTGAATGTACTTTAAAGTTTGCCAACTGACGTTCATGGGAAGTGTATCAGATTATCAATACCGAATAGCTGATACATGAAGTGCTGTTTACTAAGTAAAAATGTGCGTATATAATTATATACACAACCTACTGGCAATCACATTGTTGACGAATGCTTTTTGGCAACATTTAAAATAAAAAATGTTTGCATTTAAACTCAAACTGTAATTGTTCATTTATTTTAATTCATGAATGGTTCTTTTTTTCCCAGGAATTTAGTATGAAGAGCCCATTTATTCTTTCTTGTGAAGGAACGCTGGCAACCGCTGACGTGGCCCAGTGACGCGTTCACCGGTCTTTCGTTGGAGTGGGGAAATTGAAGTATTCGAAACATTCGAGCATTAAAATGATTTTTTTTTCTTCAGAAACTGCTCCTTCACTGACTGCTGTCCCTAGGATGAGATTTTGACAGGAGCTTAAGTGTATGTATTGGCAACAACTTTAAAAGTTTTATATTTCCCGAAAGGCCGCTTTAAAAGTTTGGAATTTACGCGAGGTACATGAATGCAGCTTTGCTCAAGCGCCGCAGGGTGAAAGGAAATGGAGGAATCGACTTGCAAGGAGTGATTTTAAAACCCACTTTTATCTTTGTATTATGAACGTTTCGAGGACTCGGGTGTTTTATTTTAAATAATTTTTTTGAGTTTTCGTCTTTCCTGCTGATTTTTTTTTGTGCCCGTTTTCAAAGTGTGTAGAAATGCCTGGCGAGGTGAAGCAAAGAAAGAAAAAGCAAAGTGATCATGTCGCAGCTGATCCTGCAAACAAACAAGACGAGGACAAAAAAGTGAATCGTGAACGTGTCGGCACGCCTCCCAAAACTTCGACTTTGGACCTTAAATTCCTCATGTGCCTACTTTCGCTTGCGGTCTGCGCTGCACTCAGCTGGTAAGTTCAAACCGCTGGTGTACTGTATTTGGTTTCGTTCAATTGATATTTATTCTGTCATTTTTATATTTCGTTTTAGGATGGTGCTGCAGCAGAATACAAGGTTCTCCCAAATGGAGGAAAAATTCGCACTACTGTACAGAAAGACCTCAAGTTTGTCCCTGATCGAGGAGCAAGTAGAGAGGGTCACGCAAAAAGTAAGTTTTTTTTTTTTTTTTTTTTTAATTTTTAAATTCAAAAGTACTAAAATGTGTAACATGCCATCGAGTAATTGACGCTCTAGAGAAATAATAAGAGTGGTCGGAAAAACACCAACAAATTTTACATTTCGCGCTGCTAACTCAAAGGGGTCATCCGGACAAGAGAGTTTTTGACACCCTTACATTGAGATGTGACGACACAAGCTCAAAGTAGGGCGCTAGACACAATGTCTCATGATTGGTCAGATTTGCTCATTTGGATTTTGGATATCCTTCCTTGCAAACAATTTCAGACCAAACTGGTATGTGCCGTTGGGATGTGAACGCACAGAGCCACACCAGCTAATACAGGGGCATTTATACAAAATAAACAATGGTCCCATTTGTGCCGTCACGTTTTGTCATATTTCCATGACACTGAAAGTGTACGGTATCCATCCACCAATCAACAGATGGTAGTGTGTCTAGCTCCACCCTCTAGGTATCCTACCTCTGCGCCAATTGCCCCTTTGGCACCCTCCCAACGAAAGGCCAGGTCGGCGTCCGGCGACCTGCAGGCGGTCAATGCTCGCTTCCTCAACGTGACAGAGACGTGGCAGGAGCGCCTTGCCGCCGCCTCCTCCGAGCTGGCCTCCCTCAAGGCCGAGTCCCGGGAAGCCCACGCCGGCGCCACGGAGCGGGTGAACGAGGCCGAGCGGCGGACCAGATCGCTGGCGGAGAAGCTGGAGGAGCTGGAGGACAGCACCAGGAGGAACGCCCGAGCTATGGAGCGCGCCGAGGAGGATGACGCCAAGCGGGCTCAGGCGCAGCTGGACTGGAACACCCAGCAGATCCACAAAATGGACCAGAACATCCACAGACTGGCGCGCCAGGAGGCGGATCTTAGCACCCAGCTGCAGGAGCAACTGCCCCGGGCCAAGGAGTGCGAGGAGCAGCTCCCCCACGTGGAGGAGGCGCTGCGCTCCATCGTGAAGCTGGGCGCAGACCTCAGCGGCGCAGAGAGGCGCATAGAGGAAGTGACGCTGCAGGTGTTCTCGGCCGAGGACAACATGCTGAAGTCGCTCAACCGGATCCTCGCCATGCGGCAGGAAATGGATGCCCTATTTTTTTTTTTTTTTGCATTTGACCAAAATTTGCAGCTTTTGCTTGAATGTACTTTAAAGTTTGCCAACTGACGTTCATGGGAAGTGTATCAGATTATCAATACCGAATAGCTGATACATGAAGTGCTGTTTACTAAGTAAAAATGTGCGTATATAATTATATACACAACCTACTGGCAATCACATTGTTGACGAATGCTTTTTGGCAACATTTAAAATAAAAAATGTTTGCATTTAAACTCAAACTGTAATTGTTCATTTATTTTAATTCATGAATGGTTCTTTTTTTCCCAGGAATTTAGTATGAAGAGCCCATTTATTCTTTCTTGTGAAGGAACGCTGGCAACCGCTGACGTGGCCCAGTGACGCGTTCACCGGTCTTTCGTTGGAGTGGGGAAATTGAAGTATTCGAAACATTCGAGCATTAAAATGATTTTTTTTTCTTCAGAAACTGCTCCTTCACTGACTGCTGTCCCTAGGATGAGATTTTGACAGGAGCTTAAGTGTATGTATTGGCAACAACTTTAAAAGTTTTATATTTCCCGAAAGGCCGCTTTAAAAGTTTGGAATTTACGCGAGGTACATGAATGCAGCTTTGCTCAAGCGCCGCAGGGTGAAAGGAAATGGAGGAATCGACTTGCAAGGAGTGATTTTAAAACCCACTTTTATCTTTGTATTATGAACGTTTCGAGGACTCGGGTGTTTTATTTTAAATAATTTTTTTGAGTTTTCGTCTTTCCTGCTGATTTTTTTTTGTGCCCGTTTTCAAAGTGTGTAGAAATGCCTGGCGAGGTGAAGCAAAGAAAGAAAAAGCAAAGTGATCATGTCGCAGCTGATCCTGCAAACAAACAAGACGAGGACAAAAAAGTGAATCGTGAACGTGTCGGCACGCCTCCCAAAACTTCGACTTTGGACCTTAAATTCCTCATGTGCCTACTTTCGCTTGCGGTCTGCGCTGCACTCAGCTGGTAAGTTCAAACCGCTGGTGTACTGTATTTGGTTTCGTTCAATTGATATTTATTCTGTCATTTTTATATTTCGTTTTAGGATGGTGCTGCAGCAGAATACAAGGTTCTCCCAAATGGAGGAAAAATTCGCACTACTGTACAGAAAGACCTCAAGTTTGTCCCTGATCGAGGAGCAAGTAGAGAGGGTCACGCAAAAAGTAAGTTTTTTTTTTTTTTTTTTTTAATTTTTAAATTCAAAAGTACTAAAATGTGTAACATGCCATCGAGTAATTGACGCTCTAGAGAAATAATAAGAGTGGTCGGAAAAACACCAACAAATTTTACATTTCGCGCTGCTAACTCAAAGGGGTCATCCGGACAAGAGAGTTTTTGACACCCTTACATTGAGATGTGACGACACAAGCTCAAAGTAGGGCGCTAGACACAATGTCTCATGATTGGTCAGATTTGCTCATTTGGATTTTGGATATCCTTCCTTGCAAACAATTTCAGACCAAACTGGTATGTGCCGTTGGGATGTGAACGCACAGAGCCACACCAGCTAATACAGGGGCATTTATACAAAATAAACAATGGTCCCATTTGTGCCGTCACGTTTTGTCATATTTCCATGACACTGAAAGTGTACGGTATCCATCCACCAATCAACAGATGGTAGTGTGTCTAGCTCCACCCTCTAGGTATCCTACCTCTGCGCCAATTGCCCCTTTGGCACCCTCCCAACGAACAATTCTATGGATTCCTGGCTTGAGCTCTCCCTGAGATACAGCCCTCCTGTTTTGTGTTGCGGCTGCAGCTCGCCGCCTCCGAGGACGACCTCCAGGCGGTCCTCTCCGCCGTCTCTTCGGAGAGCGGGCTCCGGCGGGATGTCTCAGCTTTCCCGCCGCCTCCTCCGAGCTGGCCTCCCTCAAGGCCGAGTCCCGGGAAGCCCACGCCGGCGCCACGGAGCGGGTGAACGAGGCCGAGCGGCGGACCAGATCGCTGGCGGAGAAGCTGGAGGAGCTGGAGGACAGCACCAGGAGGAACGCCCGAGCTATGGAGCGCGCCGAGGAGGATGACGCCAAGCGGGCTCAGGCGCAGCTGGACTGGAACACCCAGCAGATCCACAAAATGGACCAGAACATCCACAGACTGGCGCGCCAGGAGGCGGATCTTAGCACCCAGCTGCAGGAGCAACTGCCCCGGGCCAAGGAGTGCGAGGAGCAGCTCCCCCACGTGGAGGAGGCGCTGCGCTCCATCGTGAAGCTGGGCGCAGACCTCAGCGGCGCAGAGAGGCGCATAGAGGAAGTGACGCTGCAGGTGTTCTCGGCCGAGGACAACATGCTGAAGTCGCTCAACCGGATCCTCGCCATGCGGCAGGAAATGGATGCCCTACAGGCACGCGGCACCATCCTCAAGATGAAGAGCGAGCTGGCGGTGGTGCGCGAGGCCGTGCACGAGCTCACAATGGTGCTCAGGGGGGAGCAGACAAATGAGGAGGAAGAGGAGGAAGAGCCGGATGAAGAGTGGGAAGAGCCAGCCGAAACGCCTCAAGAGGATGTCGCACAATGATGTCACTGCAGCTGGGGGAAAGACTGGTCCCTGGTTTCACATTTTTGGATTTATTTTCTGAGTTCTTACTGGATTTTATTATATATATATTTTAAACAATTTATTCCGTGTTAAGTTGTGCAGCTGGACTGGTGCCGGTCATTTGCAGGCGTGACACATGGTTGACGTTTTACCAATAAATTCGAAAATAAGCTTAATTGGATTTGGAGTGTTTTATGGTTACACTTGAACACAATGGAAATGTGTAATTGTTATCACACGTGTGCAGTAGTTTGGGGAACTAAAATTGGGACCATTGGTTTTGTTTTATCAAGTTACAATTGACGTAAATCCACTTGATTGAATTATAACTGTGATTCCAATTTGAAAAAAAAAAAACAAAACGTTTGAAATGAAAAATGTCCGAAATTGCCCTGCTCATTAAATTCATTGTAATAAAACCCGATCCCAATTTCAAAGAAAACAAAGTATTTTAAAAATGTATACTTGTAAAATCTAATCTTTAAGTAATTCTCAAAAGGTACAGAAAGACCTCAAGTTTGTCCCTGATCGAGGAGCAAGTAGAGAGGGTCACGCAAAAAGTAAGTTTTTTTTTTTTTTTTTTTAATTTTTAAATTCAAAAGTACTAAAATGTGTAACATGCCATCGAGTAATTGACGCTCTAGAGAAATAATAAGAGTGGTCGGAAAAACACCAACAAATTTTACATTTCGCGCTGCTAACTCAAAGGGGTCATCCGGACAAGAGAGTTTTTGACACCCTTACATTGAGATGTGACGACACAAGCTCAAAGTAGGGCGCTAGACACAATGTCTCATGATTGGTCAGATTTGCTCATTTGGATTTTGGATATCCTTCCTTGCAAACAATTTCAGACCAAACTGGTATGTGCCGTTGGGATGTGAACGCACAGAGCCACACCAGCTAATACAGGGGCATTTATACAAAATAAACAATGGTCCCATTTGTGCCGTCACGTTTTGTCATATTTCCATGACACTGAAAGTGTACGGTATCCATCCACCAATCAACAGATGGTAGTGTGTCTAGCTCCACCCTCTAGGTATCCTACCTCTGCGCCAATTGCCCCTTTGGCACCCTCCCAACGAACAATTCTATGGATTCCTGGCTTGAGCTCTCCCTGAGATACAGCCCTCCTGTTTTGTGTTGCGGCTGCAGCTCGCCGCCTCCGAGGACGACCTCCAGGCGGTCCTCTCCGCCGTCTCTTCGGAGAGCGGGCTCCGGCGGGATGTCTCAGCGCTGCACGTTGCCGTGGCGATGCTGCAATCAGAGGACAGTTCGGCGTCCGGCGACCTGCAGGCGGTCAATGCTCGCTTCCTCAACGTGACAGAGACGTGGCAGGAGCGCCTTGCCGCCGCCTCCTCCGAGCTGGCCTCCCTCAAGGCCGAGTCCCGGGAAGCCCACGCCGGCGCCACGGAGCGGGTGAACGAGGCCGAGCGGCGGACCAGATCGCTGGCGGAGAAGCTGGAGGAGCTGGAGGACAGCACCAGGAGGAACGCCCGAGCTATGGAGCGCGCCGAGGAGGATGACGCCAAGCGGGCTCAGGCGCAGCTGGACTGGAACACCCAGCAGATCCACAAAATGGACCAGAACATCCACAGACTGGCGCGCCAGGAGGCGGATCTTAGCACCCAGCTGCAGGAGCAACTGCCCCGGGCCAAGGAGTGCGAGGAGCAGCTCCCCCACGTGGAGGAGGCGCTGCGCTCCATCGTGAAGCTGGGCGCAGACCTCAGCGGCGCAGAGATCAAGAGGAAGAGCGAGCTGGCGGTGGTGCGCGAGGCCGTGCACGAGCTCACAATGGTGCTCAGGGGGGAGCAGACAAATGAGGAGGAAGAGGAGGAAGAGCCGGATGAAGAGTGGGAAGAGCCAGCCGAAACGCCTCAAGAGGATGTCGCACAATGATGTCACTGCAGCTGGGGGAAAGACTGGTCCCTGGTTTCACATTTTTGGATTTATTTTCTGAGTTCTTACTGGATTTTATTATATATATATTTTAAACAATTTATTCCGTGTTAAGTTGTGCAGCTGGACTGGTGCCGGTCATTTGCAGGCGTGACACATGGTTGACGTTTTACCAATAAATTCGAAAATAAGCTTAATTGGATTTGGAGTGTTTTATGGTTACACTTGAACACAATGGAAATGTGTAATTGTTATCACACGTGTGCAGTAGTTTGGGGAACTAAAATTGGGACCATTGGTTTTGTTTTATCAAGTTACAATTGACGTAAATCCACTTGATTGAATTATAACTGTGATTCCAATTTGAAAAAAAAAAAACAAAACGTTTGAAATGAAAAATGTCCGAAATTGCCCTGCTCATTAAATTCATTGTAATAAAACCCGATCCCAATTTCAAAGAAAACAAAGTATTTTAAAAATGTATACTTGTAAAATCTAATCTTTAAGTAATTCTCAAAAGAAATTGAAACTCTAAATACAACAAAAAAAAAAAAAAGCATTCCTGACATGATCATGTTCTGTATTGCAGTGTGCAAGCGTGCACCTGACACTGGACGACGTGGGCGCTCGCCAGCAGGCTGCGCGGGCTCAGCTGGAGAGCCTGGAGCGAGACGTGGGCCAGTTGAAGGAGTGGGAGTCCTGGCTGAGCAACGAGCGGTCGGAGCTGCGGTCCAGCGTGGCTGCGCTGAGCGGCGCCGTGGACCAGATTGAAGCGCGCACCTCCGCCATCACGGTGGACTTTGCCAACAAGGTGCGTTTGATTCCCCGCTCTGCTTCCTGCGTCACTTTACAGTAACACCCCCACCAATAGGTGGCGTCGGTGAGGACGGACGTCCGGCGTATGGACGGCCTGCGCTCGGAGCTGGACTCTCTCCTGACCCAGGTGTCGGAGCTGGAGGCGCAGGCGTCGCGGGCCGAACGCTCCATGGTGGGGCGCATCGGCGACGTGCTGGCCGGTAGCATCGAGCGCGTCTCCAACCTCCGCGCTGCGTCCGAACGCAACGCGCAGGCCTTGGAGCAGCTGCGCCAACGCCTCCCCGAACTGGACGCCGCCGATCGCAGCGCGTCGGAGCGGCTGCGGGAGCTGGAGGGCGGCCGGGCTCGCCTCATTCGCACGGTGAGCTTCGCGGCGGACCTCAAGCCCAAAGTGGGCGCCATCAAGAGGGACTTCGGGGCCCTGGAGCCTCGGTTGGCCGACCTCACCTTCCGCGTGGGGAGCCTGGCCGAGGAGCTTGGCAAGAGGGAGGAGGAGATCGCCGAGCTCAGGCACACACTGGACGAGCTCGCGTCGGCCGAAGAGCGGGACGTGAGTGTCACGACTGAACAGGCGGCGGTTTTATCAGCATCTCACAACACAGAGCAGCCAACATGAACACGTGACTTAATTTGAGAGAATAAAGCAAATAACTTCAGCTTTTCCTTTGTTTTATGTTACTTATGTACGATACGTTCAACAACATTGATTGAACTTTGGTGACAAGATCAAAGTGACTCGGGAAAATTCTGCTATTTGACTCATGATTTAACATTAATGAACTTAATTTACTTGTAACCTTTAATTTCCTTGTGGTGTCCTGGAAGTCGAAGGTCGTCATGGTAATTTATTTGCGTACAAGAAACATATTGAGGTCAACAAGAGTGTTTTTATTGTAAAATAAAATAAAAAAAATGCCGTAAACAACGAAAGTACTCGACAAGAGCTTATTGTTTTTGATTTAAAAAAAAAAATAATAAAACACATCTTTGGCGCAGGCAGAAATTTGGGGAAAAAAGGTAACTAACAGTGCAGATTGAGTGTTGATTCACAGCTCAGCAGTCCATCTTGTCTCGTCCTACCTGTGCAACTTTAAGTTACATAAAAAAAAAAAAAAGTTTATTTCTTTTGTAATTTCTCGTGATGCTACTCTTGCGCCTCGGACAAAGCCGCCAGCGACTGGGTGACCTCCCCCAAGGCCGTCTGTAAGGAGATGATGGCTTGTTGCTGCTCCTCCAGCTTGGCGGCGTGCCCCTCGGCGGCCAACCTCTCCAGCTCTTCCACCCGCTGGGCCATGAGCGAGTCCGTGGCGGCCAGCGTGTCCTGCGCATCCCCCACGACCGCTACGTTGGCCTCCAGCTCCTCTATCTGTTTGGTCAGGGCCTCCAGCTCCACTTTGGAGAGGGCATTGCCGGCCAGGGCGCTCTCCTGGATGTCGTACTGGGAGAGGAGCGACTCCATCTTGGCGCTGACTGAATCGCTGCTCTCCTCCGAGGCTTTGAGGCGGGCCTCCAGGTCATCTGCTCGCTTCTGTGACTGAGCGGCGACCTCATTGACCTTCGTCTCCACATCGCGGACTCCCTCGGCGGCCCGTTCCAAGCCGCCCTCTACGGAGCCGGTTCGGTCCCCGAGGGCTTGGACTTGCGATTCGGTGGCGGACACGGACAGCTTGAGACTTCCCACCGTGTCTTGCACCACGGACCTGAAGGACTCCACTTCCAGGGAAAGCGAGGCCACTTCCTGGCTACGCGTGCGGAGCTCCTCCCTCACAGAGTTGATCTGCTCCCGGATGGAATCGGCAGAGGCGTCGGCGTCCTGCTTGGCCGCCCTGATCTCGGCCACCACCTCCACGATGCTGGACAGCTCCTGCTTGACCATGGCGGGGTCTTCGATGCCGCCCAGCCGAGCCTGGAGGTCGGCCAGCTGGCTCTGCGCCTGACCCTGGGCGTTGGTGAACTCGGTCACGCTGGCGCGCACCGAGCGGCTCACCTCCTCGAGACGCTGCTCCACCGTCACCTCCAGGGAAGAGAAGTCACGCTCCCGGGCATCCTTCACCTCGCTAATGCCCTCGGAGAGCTCCCTGAGGAGGTCTTTCTGGAGCTTCTGCAGGGCCTCATCCACCCGCCGCGTCTCCTCCTCGCCCCGCGCCATCCGGGTCACGGCGCCCTCCAGCTCCACACGGGTGGCGCCCAACGACGACTTCAGACTGTCCACGACGCCTTTCAGAGAGGCCACCTGGTGTTGGAGAGGATCAAAATATGAAGGAGGGCATTTTACGGTGGGATCCATTGTCTACATTTAGTTCCTGGGTAATTCATCGGAGGTCTGTATCCTCCAAGAACTCCATAATACCAAGACCTGAATGCTCAAGGAACTGTACAGTACTCAGTTAAGAGAGAACAGTTCTGACAATCCAAAGACATAATGGTCTGAGTTCAGGGTGTGACAGTCAATTGAAAAGCATTTAGTTGCCGGGGTAATTTAGGTGCAGCCTTCGTACTTTCATAAAGTACCCGATACCTTCTCTAAGTACTCGCCCACCCAACTCATAAGGTACTTAAAGTTCCTGGACTATAGCTTGTAGATAAAAGTAATTGGCCACGACGTTATAATGAAAGAAAACAGCTTTTGTTATTCTGGGAAGACTTTCAGGGTATGACCCCTGGGGGTCACCCCATCCCCCAGCCCCCTCGTCCCAAGAGTACACGACAAGTACAGGAGCTGTTCCGTCACTTTTAGGCCAAAACGGAGGAAACAATAGAAAGTTGGGCGTAGTTGTTGGCTACCTACTGACACCTCAACGAACCTGTTGAACGACGCCCTCCATTTTGCCGCCGATCTCGGCGCTGATTTGCGCGCTTTCGGCGTTTTTTGCGCTCGTCTGCCGGATCTCCTCCACCACCTTCTGCATGTGGAAAGCGGCCAGGGCGACGCCTCCGATCATTGCCGCGTAGAAGAGCATCGAGAGCAGGGTGCCCAGACAGCTGCGGCTCTTCTTCCCGGATGAGCGCGCCGACCCCTGGGCGCCCGAGGAGCCGCTCACACCGTTACTTTTCTGGGACTTCTCTTCCTTATGCACCGGTGCAGCTGCAGAAGCAGCAGTGGCTTTCTCGCCGGCATTGCTCTTCTGTCGGTTCTTCGCCGTCATGATCGCTGGAGGTGGACTGGGTGAAAGAACGCGTGTTGACGTGCAGCTCTTTTTTGCCTTCGTGGATGGATGGAGGTTTTGCTTTTTTTTTTTTTTAATCGGCGCTGCAGCAGCGTATCAGGGAGCGAGTCGTGTCTTTCGGGTGGCTTTTGGGACGTCCCACGTTGGACTACTGGAGGTAAAAGTCGTGCAAAAAGTGCAAAAAAAGTACGACAGATCGTCAAATACTCACTTTCTCAATTGACATTTTGGTAGTTATGCTATTATGCGTCGTGTTAGACTTTAAAATCATATTATTATTGTCTGGGGGCGTGGTTGAGAAGCAAAACACCTCCCCTCATACGTGGCAACTGGCCTCCTGCCACATCCCATAATGCCAGCTCACAAGTTTCTAAGGAACAAAAGGTCCTTGTTTTACAATCTATTGAAATTGGATTATTTCAACAGTATAGCTTCCTACCTCTGAGTGTTATTGGTTTTCTTTCAAAGAAAAATCTTTCAATTTTCATAAGTGTTTAATCTTGAGAAAATGCCGCAAAATGTGTGTACTTGTCCCACTAAGAAAGAAAGATTTAAAAAAAAATCTAAAAGTACACTGAACATAGTAAAACTGTAGTTCAACAAAACGCTTTACGTTCTAGTTTTGTCCACGAGACGGCGCCAAAGTAACGTCTACGTCTTGCTTCTATGTTCCCACAACGTCAGTTCGTCTTGAATCAAATGGGATGTAATACAGGAATTTTACGACAAATTGAACCTGTGAAGATTAAATGTGTTGATACTCCAATAATTATTAAAATTGACTTATGAATTTCGCAACGACTCCACTTGAGAAGAGAACCTAATGAAGTGTCCGACTGGTGACACATTTATACACATGCACAAAGATTCATTCAAGTTGGTTATTTCAAAGATGCATTGAAGTTAGTTATTTGAAGTAATTAACCATTCATTTTTTTTGGATATTTTTATTGCATTTAGATAATATATATAAAAATGGACATGATTCCGACAAGCGTATCTTCGCGTTTTCCCAGCATAGCCTGAATGCATCACGTCTGCAAGCCCAGCCCCGGTGACAGCAGACGCCGCTCGCCGTCATCCAGGTGCTCACCTACGGAGAGCTTCTCCCCGAACCCGCTGTCTTCGGAGCCACTACCTGGATGAGGAGGAGTACCGTTGTCGTGCTATGCTTTGTCTACAAGCACGACCACCTCACGCCCCGAACCCCCTCCTCCCCCTGCCCGGAAAAATGAAGCGGGAACACGGTCCAAAAATGAGGACGGCCACATTTTGAGTCGTCTGTGTGGCGTACACGCAGAGTCGGGAAGCCATCTAACCAACCAGCCACCCGGGGGAAAGTCTCCCAGACTTCGCGGCGCCATGGCTGGGCTCATCAAGAAACAAATCTTGAAGCATCTCTCCAGGTCAGTGAGCCACACTCACACCCGGGGAAGGGACGCTCGGCTGGCGTATTCAGGGGTGAAACAGAAGCCGGGAGACAATCCACCAACCGCTCCGCCGGACGTCAAGACTGTTTGCCATTGTGGCTCAGAGCGGCTTTTCGGCCCTCGGGCAACTGTCAAGCGGTCTTTTGCCTCCGTGACCCTCGCCGAGCCCACGGACCTAGCCGGGCTAAGCTAACAAGCTAGCGGGGCTAATCCCTCTCGGGGCAAAATGACAGGTTGAACCGGTCGCTTTTCGAAGTCTGATTTATTCAAATAACAATCTCAGTTTGGCCTTGAAGGTGGCCTACCACCAAAAATATTCAACTTTTAATCATTTCATTCGCGAAGGAGAAACAACGCGTTCAACGTGTAATTCGATAATGGCAAGGTGCTCCTATCTTTTGACATGCCAATTAAACTTGCCATGTCATCTCGTTTCACCCCTTTCTAAACATATTCTACTTTAGTGGTGTTATTCAAATTCAGATTATGGATCATTTGAGCACCCAACCACTGTCTTTTTGTGGCGCTTGTTTTAACTGGCCAGAAGATAGCCGCATAATTTATTCCTTTACATTTTTTAAAGGCACTCTTCACTGGTTGAAATGATGTGACGTCACCCGTTGTTTTTCCTCCATCCACCTGCTGTCAATCTATTTAACTCTTTCTGACTTATCGTCTGTTTGTGCAAATAAGTGAACTAGTCGCCGTCAGCGTTTCTACAGGAAGTGACAGCAAGAGTGGCGATGTCGCCCCAACGATCTGATCGACCCGATTGCTCACAGGAGGTCATGTTGAACCGCCCTCGTGTTGACGTACTCGCATCAGCGCAGGTTGTGTTGTGGGTGTCAACCCGGGCGCAAACAATCGTGCAGGACTTCACCGTGACGGACTATTGCAACATATTTACTCAAACAGTGCCTTCCACCTCTTATGCAACACTAAACTGAATTGCATTTATTCTAAAATCAACCCCCTCAACGTCATTTTTTAAAATGCACAGTTGTTGAACAATGGTTGCACTTGGTGCGTCCTCCATTTTGTTTTTGACCTTGTTTGTTTAGCATCCGTTTCAAGTTTTTCTCGAGTTGAAGCCTTTCCTTGTTATTGCCCTCAACGCTGGTGGGATGACTATGAAGGCATGAATCACGGCCGATTGTGGGTGCACTTGAATTAATCTGTGTGTGCGGGAGAATGATATTTGGCGGGATGTAGCTTTCTGCATCACGCTCACCTTCATTTTCCGGTCAAACAATTCCTCAACCTTTAACGGCAATGCTGCACACTTTCCCTCTCCCATTATTCAGGAGGTTGTTTCTTGTAATACTTTTTTGCACATAAAAAGACAACTCGACTGCTTGATTTGACATTATTGTGCAAGTGTGTTTTTGCATGTGTGTCGCCAGTGTGCAGGTTGCCTCCGTTAAATAATTTATGGAATTGGAGAGGAATGTGACGCTGCTCGTCGGAGGAGGTGGAGGTGCAGTCCGCAAAGAAACTCTTGCATTGTTTTTAGTGCCTCACACCCTCTGGACACTTTTTTTTTTCTTCGAATTCTTTACATCCCAAACACCCCGCTTACCAGGGTGAGAAGCACAGAGGACACGGACCTCCATTTTGTGTGTTTCAGTCTATTTACTCGAACCAAAAAGCAAACTTTCAGTGGACACACACAGGGAGGAGGAAAAAAAAAACCAAAACCTTGATGGACTTTGTGCAAACACTGAAAGTGCAAAAGATTTTGCGGTCCGAAATGCTAATATTAGGCTTTAACGTGAAGGAAGAAAAAAACGGAAGGAAATTGGTCTTGACTGCGTTTTGTGTTAATCTCCATTAAAAAATGTATTGCAGGTTCGCCAAGAACCTGTCTCCCGACAAGATCAACCTGAGCACGCTGAAGGGCGAGGGCCAGCTGACCAACCTGGAGCTGGACGAGGAGGTGCTCCAGAGCCTGCTGGACCTTCCCACCTGGCTGGCCATCAACCGCGTGGGCTGCAACAAGGCCGCCATCCGCGTACGGCAACATACGTCGTCAATTTCTCTTGCCGGATCGACTGTTGCATTCAGTCATAATCATTGTGTCGTCATCCTGTCGACAGATCCCATGGACCAAGTTAAAGACTCACCCCATCTCCCTGGTGAGTTGCACAGTCGTCATCAAGCCATCTGCGGGAAAGCCACAAAGTTGTAATTTTTTTTCCCCTTTGGTCTTCCAGACGCTTGATAAAGTGGAAATGGAAATGAGCACCTGCGATGAACCACGTCCCCCTAACGGCCCCTCCCCCATCGCGACGGCGTCGGGTCAGAGGTGAGCTACCGCCCCAAAATAAATAAATAAATAAATAAATAGGTTGACCTCAGACGGATTCCTGGTTGCTGCGTTTGTATCCCGGCGTTTGTAGTGAGTACGGCTTTGCGGAGAAGGTGGTGGAGGGCATGTCGCTGTCCATCAACTCCATCGTGATCCGCATCAGCGCCAAGGCCTTCAACGCATCCTTTGAGCTGTCCCAGCTGCAGGTGTACAGCGTCAACACCAACTGGAGCGTCAGCGACTTGCGCTTCACGCGCATTCAGGACCCTCAACGGGGGGAGGTAGGGAAAACCGCGCAAAAACTTTTTTTTTTTGGGTCCCGCACTCTTCTTTGGCGCCACTGTCGTCTCGCTGTTTGCGTTCCAGCTCCTGACCTTCAAGGAGATCAGCTGGCAGATGATCCGCATCGAGGCCGACGCCATCCAGAGCGCCGAGCACGACATGCTCAGCGCGCCCATCCGCCTCATCACCAACCAGTCCAAGATCCGCGTCACGCTCAAGCGATGTGTAAGCCGCACGCGTCGCTCACTTTTCGTCGCTTTCGCCGGCGGCGCCTTGAGTTAGGGCTACTTGTCCCTCTCTCTGGTCCAGATGAAGGACTGCAACGTGGTGGCCTCCAAGCTGGTTCTGATCCTGGACGACCTGCTGTGGGTGCTGACCGACTCGCAGCTCAAAGCCATGGTGCAGTACGCCAAGTCCCTCAGCGAGGCCATGGAGAAGTCGGCGCAGCAGAGGAAGAGTTTGGCCACCGAAGGCCAGGTGAAAACCGCCAACGCGGGCGCTCATCCTCAACCCGGCGGAGATTAATTTCCTCCACCTCGCAGGCGTCGTCCGGCCCGCCGTCGGCCCAGCAGGTGCACACGCAGCAGACGGCGGCGGCGGCCGACCAGAGCGCCACCATGGCCAAGCTGTTCAGCGCCTACGACGTGTGCGAGACGTCGCACCACCTGCAGATCACGCACCTGGACCTGCACATCTGCGACGACATCCACGCCGCCGACAAAGGTGGCGCAAAATGCGACTGCCGCGCTTTCTCGCCCGTTGCCTTTGCCAAACTGAGTTTTGCAGTTTGGTTGCAGTGATCAACAAGAGGATCACAGGTGGAGCCATGCAGCTGTCCTTCAGCTCCGTCACGCTGGACTACTACCCTTTCCACAGAGCAGGTGTGTGGACGTCTTTTACCTCTTCAACCTCATTCTCATCAAACTTAGAATTGTAATCATCATTATTCATTCTCCGAATTTTTTTTTTTATTGTTTTTTGGTACAACCATTATGTTGTGACATTTTTTTTTTGCTCCACGTCCCAGGCGACAGCTGCACGCACTGGATGCACTACAGCGAGGCCACCAAAACCCGAGATTCTTGGGCGCGGAGCCTCCTGGACGAGTTCAAGTCCAACGTGGAGATGCTGAAGAGTGCCGTGCGAGGCCAGCAGGGGGCGGCACCTGCGCACAGCTCGCCGGGTAAACACACTGGCATGGCTAACAGGCGTGAATGTCATCGCGCGCGTGCACACATCAGCTGGGTTTTCTGTCCCCAGTGTCCATTAGGGACGATGTGTATTGGCCACGACAATCTGTTTTGGAGTTAGGGGCAGGGATTGTGCACATCGAGATATTTACCTCCGGCCGGGGGCCTCCTAACGTCTTGATTCACGACGCTCCTTTTTTTTTTTTTTCGTTTGTTTCGACTCGCCATCGCGGCGATGCCCGATGCTTGCCGGGAGCCGTCTCGTGTCATCGCGGGCCCTAAATCACGCCGGGCGTTGTTGATGCTCCCCGCCTCCCCCACGGCACAGGCACTTGATTTTTATAGCGCCGCCCTGTTGTGTATTTATAGTGGAGCGCAAGTTGGCGTTCGCCGGCAACACCACAGGTAGCCTCTTTGGACACGGCCCCTTTCGTGCTTTTCGGTGTTTTGGGTGCTGGAAAAAAAAAGCAATCTCGGTCGCACGGGGGGAGTGGGAAAAAAAAGAAGATTCAGCAAAAGGTCGCTTGTTTTAGGTGGGGGGAGCATTTGTCGCTGATTCATCCCAGGACGGCGGGTTGCCTTGTCGGATATTACAAAAAAAAAAAAATGGTCACAGCAAAATCTCAACCATGGAAGTTGAACACGTAATAAGTACGCGCATACGAGAGCGGCCGATGGCTCGACATGCAGAGGTGCTCACGGGTTGGCCGCCAGCAATTGCCGACTCCCACGTCACTCAGCAGGTCGGGCCCCACCCAAAATGATTCTCAGCATTTCGTTTCGTGGTTGCTCCCACAGTCCCGTGCCCCAACCTGTACGCCCAGCTCAACGCCCTGCAGCTGGTCCTGGATCACCGCAGCCTGGTGTGGCTCAACCTGTTCGCTTTGGACCTGCGGCAGAGTCTGGAGCAGTTCATGGAGATCTACAAGCTCAACGACTCGCAGAAGCCCGACGAGCACGTGGACATCAAGGTGGACGGCCTCATGCTGAAGGTACGCGGAGTTAAAAAATTCAAAAGAAATCAAAATTGCAAACAAACTCAATGATCCGGCCCGGTGATGGCCTGCCCATGACTCATCTTTCTGTCCTTGTAGGTGGTGATCCCGGCCGATCGGGACCCCTCGTGCCCGCCCAACCTTCCCCGCTCCGTCTCCGTGCAGACGTCTGAGATGGTGGCCACCAACACACGCCACCCGGCCAACTGCACCCGTGCCCACCTGGAGGCCCTGCTGCAAGCCTTCCAGGGGGAACCCTTCTTCTCATCCTCTTTCGTCTCCTTTCCTCGACTCTCCTCCTCCGTGCCGCTCCTTCATCCCGTTTTCCGCTACCACGCCCACGAGCAGGACACTCGCCTGCACGACATCTACCGGGGCCTGGTGACCCCCACCATGGGGGCCAACGCCCTCAAAATGCCGGCCGCCGCCGACTTCTGGGCGCTGCACTTTGCACAGTTCTGGGTGGACTACGAGGGCAAGGGGCGGCCGCAGCCCTTCGTGGACTCCTTCCCCCTCAGCGTGTGGGCCTGCCAGCCCGCCAAGCTCCTCGCGCACCAGGAGAAGCTGCGAGGACTCTCACGGAGCTCCTCCGCGGATTCCGCCGGCCGCATGCAGAGGAAGCGGCTGCTGAAGGAGTTCTACAGCGCCGACGGCGCACCCGCGCCGTGCCACAGTCCGTCCAATGGACTCCGTAAACCCCAATCGTTGGACAGTTTGCCTTCTTCTCCTTTGACGTCTACAGGCAAAGATGCTGATGTCCATGTGCTGGTGCATGTTCACAAGCATCTAAGTGCTCAGGTATGCTTGCCTCTTGTTGCTGTAGGGTTTGTCCATGGTGAGAGTTTAGACTAGAAATCTGCCTGCTGTTTCAAAACAGTTGCTTGCCATTTCATTGATGTTGCGTCTCTTCGCCACAAGGGGGCGCAAATTCCCCATATAAAAAAAGAGTCATGTTGTCGCGTCATATGTGCCTGTTGAGTTTGCTTCGCGCTATGGAGCAGTGGATGTCTCGAGGGCAATCGCATCTCACCTTTTTGCCTGGGGCAACATGGTGGGTGACTGGTTCGCGCATGTGCCGGACGTTTTTTGACCATTTTTTACGTTTTACCAGGTGAGCCACTCGCAGTATGTGTTCCTGATGCGCCTGCAGCGCAGCATCAAGGCCCTGCAGCAGACCTTGCAGCAGGACCTGGAGGACATGGGAGGGCTGCGCAAGGCTCCGGCCCAGCGTCCCGCCGACCAGCGACCCTTCACCGCCTGCCTGGGCCTCCTGCTCAAGAGCGCCGAGGTCTCCCTCCTCCTCAAGCCCGTCGCCCAGACGGAAGGCTCGGGATCTCCTCTCGGGTCTGAGCTGTCGCCCTCTGAGAGCAGAGGAACCCTGGAGCCGGGCGGCGAAGGGGTGGGCAAAGGGAGCTCCACCGTGGACCAAATGTTGTGCGGCGACGCCCCCGACGCGAAGACGCCACGGGGGCCCGAACCGCTCGTCCCCACCGCCGCAGCGACATCAAATCACCAGTCCTCGCATGAGGAAAGGACTTCTTCGGCTAAGAATGCCGAGAGGTGGAATTGCGGTGAAGGAGGGGAGATGGTGGCCGAGGTTTTGGCCAACGAGGATGAAACCAAGTTTCAGGCAGGTGAGCCGCTTTGTGAGGACAAAGCTGCGGCCACCAAGATGCCCCAGTCCACATCCAGGTATTAGTTCACGACTCCCTTAAATTCTTTTGCTTGCCTGGCATGATACCAAGCATATCGGACATCAGTCATAAACAATGCGGGTGCCAGGGTTGTAATCATCTTTTTTTTTCCAGGGGGGCTTATTTTATTCTGTCAAATTGGAATTAGCTTTAAAAAAAAATCCAAATCGATGTGTTTTTCAATTCTCGCGTGCGTGTATAATATCACTCACTGCAATAACCTTGGCTGGTGCTTCATGCCCTTGGTCTGACTTGAGTGTTTTCCATCCAGAAACACCAGCAATGTGTTTTCACTCTGGATGTTGTTGTCGCTTCCTTCCCCGCACTTCTGTGCTCATTTCATCTTCTCGTCTGCAACGTTTCTCAACTTCCTTTTTTGGCCTCTTCGCTTTTGACTCTGGCAAGGTGTGTGTGTGTTTGTGTGTGTGTGTGTTCTCTCTCTACCAAGGAAAGGAAGTTTGTCTCTTGTTTCCGATCTCCTCAACTCTTCATCTACCAGCAGATCCACCTCCCTTTATTCCATGTCCAACATGTAAGGCCCAAATGGATCTGTGACTATCTTAGCTGTGCATATTGATTGATTATATGTTTTGTGTCTTTTTTTTTGGGACTCATGCCTACAAGTACAAACGCGCGCATGCCTTTGCATGTTTGCATGCGTCTCGTCTCTGCCTGTTGCCAAAATAGGCCGTAGAGTATTTGCTGTCCCCGCGTGAGCCGTCACTGCCAAACACCAAAGGCGTGTGGCCGACAACTGCGCGTTTGTGTGTTGCAGCGGGCGTCTGATGCGCGACCGCTCGCAGTCCAGTTTCTCTGTGACCTACAAGAACATGAAGAAGAGTCCGTCCCTGCAGTCGCTGGATAACATCTCCATTGACAGCTATCTGCTGGAGGACGGCGACACCTTCAGCCTGATGGAAAGAGGTGCGGGCACATGCGCTGTCCATTGATTGATTTTGATTTTAGAAAAATTATTATTCTTCATATACTTTTTTTAAGATCATCATCTCATTCAATCGTGAAGGAGTTAAGTTAGTACTTTAAATTCGGGCTGGGTAAATACAGGCATTGTATCTGGCTGTGAATTGAAGGTATTCGGTACTTGTGGAGACTGCTTTTACCACCCACCAATACCTAAAGCAAAAAAAAAAAAAAAAAAAAAAAGTTCGAAATGGGCTGTTGTAGAAAGTAAAACGGAACCAATAAACAGGACAGCCAGCGCCCCCCGCCAGGAACAGGGTTGAAGACCCTTGCCCTGATGTATTCACATTGACCCACCAGGTGGCAGCATTGCACAAGACGAAAGAAATCAATCATAATCTCTCCCCCCCTGTACACAGATGACATGTCCATCTCGGGGTTCAAGGCCACCACCGACAGCTCCGCAGAAGTCACCGCCCCCGCCCCGCTGCCGGAGCAGGAAGGAGGCGTGTCCCCCGACACCGTCAGCGCTGCCTCGCAAAGCATCGACGAGCCCTCCAAGGACATTGTGGGACTTCTGACGTGTTTGTTTTCCTCTGTGTGGGACGTCTACTAGAATGTGTGCGTTGTGCAGGTGTCGGTGCTGGTGCTGAAGGTCCACTCGGTGTGCGTGGCCATGGAGTCGGTGGGCGAGAGCACCGGCGTGGCTCTGGAGGTGGACAAAGTCACGCCCGTCCAGCTGGGCAACGTCAGCCTGCGGCAGTACCTCAGCAGCCGCAGCCTGGGTGAGGGCGGCCGCCTGCCATTTTTTTGTGAGGTTTTACCAGCCACAGCACTGAAACACCCAAGCACGGTGGTTCCCGACCACTTATGATATTTCATTCACGACTAACAATATATTTTGGTTTGTCAATCTATGCCGTCGACCTCCAGTGACAGGCAGAACCAAAAAAAAATGTTTCCGACGTAAAATATGTGCCTTGGTGCAATCAAGGTTGGGAAACACGGCATTAACACGCCTTGGTCATATTTACCCCGCAGGTGTGGTGTGTTCAGTGGCGGCTCAGAGCAGCCAAGGTAACGTTTGTCTTCACGCGCCAACTTGGTCTGCATGCTCGTGTGTGTTGATGTGCGTGTGTGTGCGGCACTTCTCCTCCAGTCGCTTTTGCCGAGGTCAAAATGGCGTCTTCCTCGCGTTACCCACGACCGCGTGCGCCTTGAAGGGTTCGGCGGTAATCGACGGAGCGCTCCGGTTCCGTGCCACATTAAGCGCACGACCTGAAGAAAAAAAAAATGCGGAATGATGTGCAGATGGCGAATCGTCCTCATCTTCCTCATTGCCTGACTGACTCGCCCGCCTTCCCTCGCTCACACCCCCCCCACCCCCCTGCCTCATCTCGCTACTGCAGCAGCAGATTTTGCAGTTTCAGTCCAGTGATTCCTACCGATGAGAGGAAGCCTCTCGCTGCTCTCAGCTATCTCCCCCCCACCACCCCCGTCCCTTCTTTTCGACCCGCTGTAGCTGTGTTATTAACCCCGACATCACATGATGACTCCGCTCTCTCAGCCTGAGCATTGTAGTGGCCTCTTTCACTCAGATATCCTGTAAAACGGGTGCCCAACATGGATTTGACTTTGCCTGTTAGCCAGCTAAGTCGCACTTTCACACACATCCTGTAATCAGATCATTGGACTTAGGACGTATAAAACACAAATGCAGGGAGTTGACCGTGTGGCTTTTTTACATGGTGTTCGCCATTCAAGACTTTTGTTAGTTTTACTTACTTTGTGAATTTTCACGACCTTGATGCAAACTCCATTTGTCACGCGTCAAAACTTCCCGAATTCCACAGAGTTGGTATTTCTCTCACTCGAGATACACTTCTTAGTCTTGATCTTCAACACAAAAACTGTGCTGATCTCAACTATGAAGCCATTCAATGCTGCCATCTACAGGGATCTGTTAGTCATCACAATGGTTTACAAATGTATTTTTTTCCCATTTTGCAGCACCTTTTGTCACTGTGTGGCGTCTTATTCATAAAAAGCTGGTGACACCACTAATCTCTGGTGCAAAGTAATAATTAGACACCTCCGCTTCCAAAGCCTGAGGGATTCCACAAAATCCTGCCTTTCTTTGCCTTCGGTCCTCTTTTTGCTATCAGTGTCTGCAAAAGACAAATGTTGCTGCTCATTCTACGCGTCCACCAAAGTTTATAATAACCAGTAGTTGCCTGCGTCTTCGCTTTACAGGCCCGGCCGAGGTGCACTCGCCATCCACGGGGCTCCCCCGCCGCCCTGAGGTGCGTGCCCGGCTCGAGAGCGGGCCATGCGCCGCCGCCCACTCACCGCTGGCCGAGCGCAATGGCTTTCTGCAGCTGCGTCTGCATGGCTACCGCGCCAGCCTGCTCATGTCCACGCTGCGCAACCTGGCCCACTTCCTGGAGGACGACACGGCGCCGCAGGTGCTGCCCATGGAGATCAGCGTACAGGACTTGCACATACACTTGAAGGTGAGCGGCGGGAAAACTTCACGGTACCCAAACGGAAGTCTAAGGTGACTTGAGAAACAGTTGATACGATTCGTTGTGTGTTTTCTTTGCCGCAGGACGACGGCCAGCGTGACACCCCATCCGAGGCGGAGCCCATCACGCTACACGTGGACAGCCTGCTCATCCACCGACGGGACGACGGCGCCTTCTACGTCGGAGGTGAGACCACCTGCACGTGAGGCTTTGATAAGCCGAGGTTAAATAACTCTGCTCGTCTCCTCCCCCTCATAGTGGACACGGAGGCCAAACGTTCGGTGACGGCGGATGGCGCCTTGAGTCCCGTCACCGAGGTCACCGTCGCCGAGGCCACGCAGACCCGCGCCTTATCCGCCAGCCCCACAAAGCATGAACAAGTGAGTAAGGGCCGTTGCGGGTGTTTTCCGACGCGCACGTTACACGACGACTTCTCCCGCAGATGCTGACGGATGAGAACGAATGCCTGAAAGTGGAGCTGTCCCGGGCCAAAATGGCGCTGGCCGAGGTTCAGATGGAGAGGGACTCGCTGCTGCACCAAATCAACAGCCTCAAGGTCAACACCAGCTAGCCGCTCGCCACGTGGAGCTAGTTTTTTTCCTAACTTAATAATTCCTTCATGGAGCAATGCAGAGACTCAAGTAAAGTACTTTTTTTTTTTTTTTTAAATTCCAGCAAAATGATGTTTTAGTGTGTTATGATGTGGGTTTGGACAATGGTTGCGTCAAATCTTCTTAGTGAATGTTTCTGAGGAATGTCGCCGAGAAAAGATCAGTTTTGCACATCCTGCTCTTATTTTTGTGCGTGTGCGTGCGTGTGTGTCCTATCAGAATGTGAGAGCGCTTTTGTACACAGATCTGAACGGTTCCACAGTGTTGAATGTGCGCGTGTTGTTGAGAACAAGCATTTCATTCCCCAGATGAGTTTTTCTGGGTTGGGCCACTTCCCAGCTATTTTTATAGGAAACGTGTACAGCGTGTACACCCGCACAGCTTCGCCTCATTGATCTTTGTGCATCTTTCTGCGTGGTTGGCCGCCATCTTGTTTGAACTGTGTAAAAACGGAAGAATATTATCATGTCATATTTTGTCTGTCAAAGCTGCTGAAATGCTGATTAAAACATGTGGGCGGGGTGAAAAAAGACCATCCACTCAGACATCTATTTTGGCAGAAAGTCTTCCTCACTCATTTTAAAATGTTTTATTTAGTATTGATTTTTTTTTCATTATTAAAAAAAACGTTTACATTGAGAATTTGTAATAATTCTAGCTTCAAAAGAAGCGTGGCGCTACGCATCCTCCTATTAACGAGCGTCAAGTGGCAGCTGCTGACACAATTTCCCAATTCAGCATGTTCAACATTTTATTTTGAAGTGTCGAACAAAGGCAAGGCATCCTTTGTCTTGTCTTCCACGCACAGACTGTAAGTCAACCGTCCTTGTGCAGAGAAGGAAGTAAGCAATTCCGCTTTCAAAACAAGATAAGTCCAATTCACCGGTACATAAATTTACCTTCACCGTGTGACGTCAAAATTTCTAGGGGGGGGGGGGAGCGGGTGTAGCAAGGCTTCGATGTAAGGGAAGAGCTAAAAACCTGAATCAGTCGTGCGAAAGACCAGCACGATGGTTATAAAATCTTCGACGTGAGGACTTTACACTATCAAAACATACAAGGATATACTCAGCATATCAGGTGGGTTTTTTTCGTGATTGATTAGCCTTTGATTGTAAATTTGATGCAGACTTGATGCTTACCTGTGAGCATACCTGTGCAAGTTTTCGTTGGCATTGCCGTTCAGTATTAATCCGTCAATTATGTCGGAATAACTAAGAATATGTACGTTGATGGACTATCAACGAACATTTTTGTCGTTTTCACATGCTTATTCACGCAATGAGAAAAATAATGTCGTTTCAGTGATTTCACTGAGGAAGTTCACCCGAAAAATATACATATAGGTAAGGCTTGAATTCAAGACTAATCACGCACAAACCTATATGAACACATTCTGTAGTCCATAAAGCTAACTAAATATTATGTTGGATGGAGAGGTATTAAAATTATGTATTTCGTAGTTAATTCAACGGGTATTTGCAAACGCATCCGGTTATGTGCTTATTTTGTAAGTGTGAACCGGAAAATGCGTATTTGCCGCACGTGTGACACGATGGTTATAAAATCTTCGACGTGAGGACTTTACACTATCAAAACATACAAGGATATACTCAGCATATCAGGTGCTTTTTTTTCTCGTGTGCATTGATTAACCTTTGATTGTAAATTTGAGGCAGACTTGATGCTGACCTGTTGTCATACCTGTAAAAGTTTTCGTTGGCATTGCCGTTCAGTATTAATCCGTCAATTATGTCGGAATAACTAAGAATATGTACGTTGATGGACTATCAACGAACATTTTTGTCGTTTTCACATGCTTATTCACGCAATGAGAAAAATAATGTCGTTTCAGTGATTTCACTGAGAATTTCACCCGAAAAAATACTTAAGGTAAGGCTTGAATTCAAGACTAATCACGTACAAACCTATATGAACACACCCTGTAATCCATAAAGCTAACTAAATATTATGTTGGATGGAGAGGTATTAAAATTATGTATTTCGTCGTTAATGCAACGGCTATTTGCAAACACATCCGGTTATGTGCTTATTTTGTAAGCGTGAACCGGAAAATGCGTATTTGCCGCACGTGTGTTGATCTCCGTTTGCACTCAGGGGGCACCGGCCAGTGCGGAAGGTTCGGCGGAGAGCAAGGGAAGGAAGAACGGCGTGGGGACCCTCTTCCCGGGGTGGGCGCACACGCTTTCACCTCCAGCCTTTCATCAGCTGCATAGGAGCGGGGCCAGAGTGGAAACTCGCTCGGGGGAAGCCAAAAGGACTTGGCGTCTTCACGGCGGGTTCCCCGGAGGAGGCACCGGAGCGCCGAGTCTGGATGAACGGGGAGCACCGCGCACGGTGGGAGGGGGACGCGCTCTGCAGCATCCGAGCGGGAGCACCAGCAACATGCCCCCGCGGTGAAGCGAGCGTGGAGGGAGGAGCGAACGTGGATTGATTTCATGGGAGATTGCGCTCCTCGCTGGCCCGGCGTCGTCGTGCAGCACTCGTGGCCGGGATGGGGAAGGAGCAGGAGCTGCTCGAGGCCGCCCGCACCGGGAACGTGGCCGTGGTGGAGAAGCTGCTGAGCGGCAAGAGGGGCTTGCTGGGCTCGGGCCCGGGTTCCATTCCATTGCCACCTATATGAACACACCCTGTAATCCATAAAGCTAACTAAATATTATGTTGGATGGAGAGGTATTAAAATTATGTATTTCGTCGTTAATGCAACGGCTATTTGCAAACACATCCGGTTATGTGCTTATTTTGTAAGCGTGAACCGGAAAATGCGTATTTGCCGCACGTGTGTTGATCTCCGTTTGCACTCAGGGGGCACCCGCCAGTGCGGAAGGTTCGGCGGAGAGCAAGGGAAGGAAGAACGGCGTGGGGACCCTCTTCCCGGGGTGGGCGCACACGCTTTCACCTCCAGCCTTTCATCAGCTGCATAGGAGCGGGGCCAGAGTGGAAACTCGCTCGGGGGAAGCCAAAAGGACTTGGCGTCTTCACGGCGGGTTCCCCGGAGGAGGCACCGGAGCGCCGAGTCTGGATGAACGGGGAGCACCGCGCACGGTGGGAGGGGGACGCGCTCTGCAGCATCCGAGCGGGAGCACCAGCAACATGAGCAACATGCCCCCGCGGTGAAGCGAGCGTGGAGGGAAGAGCGAACGTGGATTGATTTCATGGGAGATTGCGCTCCTCGCTGGCCCGGCCGGCGTCTGCGTGCAGCCCTCGTGGCCGGGATGGGGAAGGAGCGGGAGCTGCTCGAGGCCGCCCGCACCGGGAACGTGGCCGTGGTGGAGAAGCTGCTGAGCGGCAAGAGGGGCTTGCTGGGCTCGGGCCCGGGTTCCATTCCATTGCCCAACCTGCTGAGGTATGTTCTCAACTCTCCGTGGACGATTCTCGCCTTTGAATCAAAGAGTGCTTCTTTTTTGAGATTTTACCTTCATATGTTGACATCATATCCTTGCAACAGTCTTTCAAGTCCAAAAAACGTCCCCTACTTTGATGTCCAATGGAAAACAATGAGCCCTAACTCAACTAAACCTCAAAGAAACCGCTCAGGTGATTGGTTGCCGGTCCCACCCCTGCAGCACAGGTGAATAGCGAGATCAAAGCGTGGGAAGGGGCCTCGGGCTGAGGTGTATCCCCTCAACGAGGGGCCACGGTCCACCTGCAGGAGCCTTTTGACATTTCCCCATGAGATACATTACTACCTACTACTTAATCTGCACGGAATTGGAGGCGGTTAACAACGTAAGAAGTGCTTCATGATTCAATTAGTTAAAATTCTATTTATCGTGCAGCTCCTTCTGGTGTGCTTGCTTTGCCAGGGAGAGGGCAGTATAATACACTCTTAACAGACAGCAACAAAGTAGTTTCACGACTCATGAAGGATAAAGAATATATGCCCGTGAGATTTGTCTATGTGTGTTGCTCCACTGTTTGTGTTCAATTATCTGACCTTGGAATGGACTCGCAAATTTCCAAAATATCAAAGCAGGACTGTAATTGGAATTCAATCAAAATGGCTGGAGTTGAAGAGGTCATGCCTGAAGGTTGTGTCGTTCCTGTACATGTGCACGTGGGAGGGCCGCTTGGCTTTCTCTGCTGAATAGCATTCCTAAGTCATGAGGTTCGAAAGCACGACGAGCCCACAACCAGAAGACGAGTTGATCGCATGCGGCGGGAAATCCATACAGTGATGATGTCACGATTCGTTTCCTCTCAGGGATGACCTCAACCTGTTGCGAAAAAAAAACTACTTCAGAGGTGTACGTTTTTTGTACCTGTCCAAATGCTAACTTTCAGTTTCCAAGTGGAGGATTTTCAAAGCATGCTATTTAAGAAAACGCCGTCATTGTTGTTTGTGTGCAAATGCTTACATTTAGAAATAATTCTCCAACTGGACTTTTGTTATTGTTCCTGTGTCATTGCTAACCCTTAAAGTGTCCAACTGGCTCTTTCTGAAAATACTTGTTGTGGTTCCTGTGCAGATGTGAACTTTTAAGAAAGGGGCATTTTTTTTAAAACACTTAAAACGGATCCTGAGAAAATGCCAACTGCAAAAAATTGATTTTGAGGAATGCTGGCATTCCTGTTCCAATGTTAACTTTTAAATCAATGAATATTTGATGCTATTTTTGCATCCTCTCGTAGTGGAGAGGATGAGAGGACCCCCCCCCCCCCATCCTCATTCATGCACCGGTACGGCTGCGAATGAGTCATGACGGCGTGCAGATGTTAGCTTGTCACATTCAGGGGAAGCCCGCGTTGTCGTCCTATTTTTTTATTTATTTATTTTTTGCGTTGCTCACTCCCTTGTATCTCATTTTCCGCCGCCACCTCCTCCTCCTCCTCCTCCTCCACTTTTGCAAACAAACAAGCTTTAAGTGAGTCCCCAGAGAAGACAAGCTCTCACACTCCGTTCGCCCATGTTTGTATTTTTGACTCACCGGGCGGCGGGGGAAGGGCAAACGCAGCTAAACGGACGCTAATAACAGGAAGAAGTACTTTACGTCCTGTGTCAGGCCCATCTAATCTACAGGCCTGTGACCCTGCGTAACATCACACATTCCGCGCGGCCCTCATGATGGATGACGCCCGAGCTGCTATCATGGCGAGAGGGCCTGACCAGACGCGACTGTTGTCGTTTTAAAACTGAACTTGATGACACGATTTTAAATCATTCTGCCGCCCGGTTTGGCAGCAAACTAGTCACATCTGCATTAATGTGCATTTGAAAGTCCCATCTAGATCATGCCCGTCGTGGCGTTTTGTCCCATTATGACAATAACACGCCTTTTTGAACTTGGCTTCCACACACGTGACGCACATTCCCCCGCAGCCTTTCGCTGAGGGCGATTAACGTGCAGTTATCCTCTAACTAGCTTCGGCATGCCATGAAATATGTGCGGGATTCATCTTTTCTTAAAATGAGGCATCAAATATTCATCTGCTGCTGAACTGCTCAATGAAAAATGGACCGTTAATCATCCACCCGACTGCACGTCGGTCCCGCCGAATCCTGGCACTCGAGAATTTGCGACGTTTATTGTAATGATCGGATAAAATGACACGTCGGGAGAGAAAATTGCTTTTCTGAACACTGCTGTCCGTCTCTGCAACAGATGCTCATGTGTCAGCAGCTTATTCATTGACGCGGTGTAGTCTTCCTTGCCTCCTGACTCGACGGGGAGACACTGGAGCTCCTGAGTAAGCATTGTCGAGTGCCCCTGCGGGCTTCGGCCTCCACACTTTGCAAGCCATCGCGCGTCGCATCTCCTTCCAGCGTCCTCCCTTTTCTTCTTCGTCTCCCTTTCGCCTTCACTCAGGTCTTGTTTGGGAGTCCTCCACGCTCGTTATCTGGCCGGGAGGAAAACCAATTACCTTCCCGACGGCAGCCATCGTACAGATTCATTCATCTTCGAATGACTCCAGGCTGTTTGTTTTCCCATCCGGCGAAACGTTATCGACACCTTTGTCGCTAACTCTCTGCCGCCTCGTCGATGCTTTTCTAACACGGCGGGGTGACATTTTGGCAATATGCGGCGTCCCGTTTGGCCTTTTGCATTCGGGCGATCGCTCTCCGCAAAGTTCGTGTGCCTCGTTAAGGCCTCGCCGGATTGATTGGGACTATCACTTAGCACATTTCAAAAACAAAAACTCTGAAATGATTCATTAATGCCCAGGTCGGTGTCTGCCTAAGCGGGTAGCTGTTGCTCAAATTTATCCACAACCAGACTTCCGTCCTTCTTGCTAACGTTTTAAACAAAGCAGCCCAGGCCTAACTAGAGGTCAGCTGTCTAGACGGGTTGCTCTATGAAACAAAATCAAAGTTTTTCCCTGTTTTCATCTGGAATTGACTTCATTTTTGTTGAATCAAGCTCAGTCCCGACTAGTTTTCCATTTTGAAAGTAAACAAGTGAGAGTGTCGTGCCGTGTCATATCAAAGGAGAAGTCGGGTAGGGACCCAAAAGGGGTGGCGGAGTCATCTTTTATCGCGTGTTGTGGCTGTGAAGGCCCCACGTCATGGTTAAGCGTGATTTACAACACGCACCTTGACTCATCTTTCTCGCTACTTCCTGTTTCATTCGAATCCCCTTCCCGCCCCTCTGCCCTTTTCCATCCCCGCTGAGTCACCGTGCGAGCATTTGTGGGCCGTCTGGCCCTGAGGTAGGTAAGAGAGTGGGGAAGGGGGGGTGATGAGAAGGGATGTGGACCTCCGTTTGGGAGAAAAAAAGCAGACTTGACCTCAAGGAGGTCAATGTTTCAATCCAGGAGAATTTGAACAGAGCAGATGACAGAATGCACTCGGATTTATTTGGCATATTTATTTTATTTGAGGTCGTTTTTAATGAGATTTATATTTTTACATATTTGGGTTTCTTTTTATTTTTTATACTCAGTTTATTAGGGGACAGTTATTTTTTTGTTTAGATCTAATTATTTTTGACATTATGTTATGCGTTTGTGGCTTATTTGGTATTTTACTTTCTTTCCAACCCATAGCCGTGTAATGAGCCAAATGCTGCTTCACCATCCACCACACTGAAGTGCATTTTGTATGCAAATCGTGGTTGTCAAACACGTTGGATTTCACTTTTGCATTGTCGCTCACAGTGTGAGCAGGCTAATGCTATGTAATTGGGGCAGGTTGTCTTGCGGGGACTTTTTTTCTTTCTTTTTTGGAGGGTTGGGGGGGGCAAGCGCACCTCCAAGGGAGGTTTTTTTTTGTGTGTGTGTGTGTGGGGAGCTGCTAGCGGAAAAGCTTTTGGAGAACGTTTGATATAATTCACCGCGGGGCTTTGCAGACGGCGTTGGCGCCGTGAGCGAGAGCGTGTGCCTCTGTGTGCCGAAAATCGCTCTTTGTCTCGTGTTTGTGGAAACAACATTGTCGACGGCGTGAAAAGATTGTGTCTCGTTGTCTCGAACATCCTACAGGTGACGACGCTCAGGCGGGAGCAAAAAGCTTCTGTAACGATGCCGCCGCCAAACACACACGGCCCAAAGAATAATCAGGTCTTTTTTTTTTTTAATGTAGAGGGACTTTGAAAGCATCTGAACCCCCCCCCCCCAAATTGTCTGTGACTGTTTGGGGGACGTTTTTGAGCACAGCGCCTTCCTAACTGTTGCTCGGCTCAGGCTGCCCGATGTCAAATCTTGGTCTGTTCACAAAGCTGCAGGACGTGTCCTCTTTCGGGTCTTTTCTTGTACCTCTCGGCAGCCAGTCAGCACTTTTCTGTGTCCAGAGTGTGTGTGTGTGCATGCGCACGTGTGAGAGTGAGTTTCTCCTTCAATTAATTTGTTCGGGAGTGTGTGAAAAAGTATATTTCTGAGAGGATGGGCGTACATTAATGAGTGAACGGAAGAGATATGTGAGAGTAAATGAGAGCATGAGAGAGGGAGATAATGACTGTGTGTGAGAGTTTCTGTAGGTTAGTGTGACCGTTTGTGTGTGTGAAAATGAATGTGTGAGAGTGCAATTGTATGAAAGTATGCTTGAGTGTGTTTGAGGGTTTTTTTTATTTTATTTTTTTGCATTTGTCTGCCTGGAAGCATTTGGCGTGGAAGAAGCTTTGCATGCAGCGATGAAGCAAAACTGTGCATGACTTCGGTTCTTCAATATTTTAAAACAGCGGTGGTGGTGGTGGTGGTGGTGGGTGGGGCTTCTTTTGCGAGCCGCTCATCTTTCTCAGATTAGCAGGCGGGGCAAATCCGAATCGTCCCGTCCATCGTTTCTTCTCGGTTTGCCGCTCCGCCGCTCTCCCCTCCCCATTTGCGTGCCAAAATACGAGGCCCCCGCGGGGCGCATCGATAACGACCCAGCCGAGGGGATCCGCCGGTGGCGGCGTGCGTTTGCTTGCCGCTCAGACGAAGGAAGGTTGTAGCCGGTGGCGATAAATGACCGCGACCGAGCTCTCATGCCACGTTGACACAAAAACAGCAACGTTAAAACTGCAGACAAGACATTTGCCTGGGTAAACGGCTACATTCCGGCCGCAAAGTGCATGCCAGGCCAGTAGGTGGCGATGTAGTCACAGTGTATTCAATGTATGCACTGTTGGCACAAATGCTACTTTCATTTTTCCAGGCAAGCGTCATGCGGTCATCTTTCAAAAATATAATTTTATTTCCGCTGTCAAATTCAGAGATCTAATGTTGGTTTTTAAAATATTTTTTCCATTTTCTGTTACCCTTTTGTTTAGGGGAAAAAAAAAACCCCAAAACGAACCAGCTTTTCCATTGTTTGCATTTTTCTGTTGACTTGCAAACAAGCCCCCAAAACGGCAACATTTCGCAAAACGCAACGTGGCAGCTCGCCTCGGCCACCTGCGCCTCCAACCCGCTGACAAGATGGCAACATATGCCCGCGCATATTCCGAGTGCGGCCTGGCGTTTGCGGCGTTCTGTCGGCGCCCTCCTTCCCGCTGACTCGACATCGACTCTTGCTGGCGCGGGAATGAGTCACATGATCCGTGTGAAGTGGGTCGTATAGCAGGAGGTGCGGGGGGGGGGCTCGTGTCCATATGTTCCTGCATCTTTCATGAGCCTTGCCGTTCATGCCTGAGCTCCGTGCTGAAGTCTTCCAGGCTCGGCATTGACCCCCCCACTCGTTCCTCCTACCATCACCACACGCCCTCCCTTCCTTGGGACGGAGCGCCCACAGGGGCCATGTCGCAGAGAAGCTGGTTGGTGGGAACCAGGAAGTGACAAGGCCGAAAGGGGCAAATACCCTCGAGACGCCCGTCTGTTTGTTAAGCGGCGTACTGGACAGTTTTTCCACTCTCGCAATCAGCAAAAACAACGGAGAGAATTCTGAAACAATCGTCTTTTTCCGTCAACGGCATGGAAACCATATTCAACGGGACCTTAGCCAGTCGTGATTCTAAAAAAAAAAAAAAATGCTTGGAAGATCATTTCATACGTGGTGTTTTATGTTCAGTTTATCACAAAGCTTGTTGATCCACAGCGTCTCTCGAAAATCTGTTTTGGAGTTAGGGGCAGGGATTGTGCACATCGAGATATTTACCTCCGGCCGGGGGCCTCCTAACGTCTTGATTCACGACACTCCTTTTTTTTTTTTCGTTTGTTTCGACTCGCCGTCGCGGCGATGCCAGATGCTTGCCGGGAGCCGTCTCGTGTCATCGCGGGCCCTAAATCACGCCGGGCGTTGTTGATGCTCCCCGCCTCCCCCACGGCACAGGCACTTGATTTTTATAGCGCCGCCCTGTTGTGTATTTATAGTGGAGCGCAAGTTGGCGTTCGCCGGCAACACCACAGGTAGCCTCTTTGGACACGGCCCCTTTCGTGCTTTTCGGTGTTTTGGGTGCTGGAAAAAAAAAGCAATCTCGGTCGCACGGGGGGAGTGGGAAAAAAAAGAAGATTCAGCAAAAGGTCGCTTGTTTTAGGTGGGGGGAGCATTTGTCGCTGATTCATCCCAGGACGGCGGGTTGCCATGGCGACGCGCACCATCTGCGCGTGCTACGTTAGCGTGAGATTTACCGAAGGCGCGGAGGCTCCTTCCACGCCTTATATAGGCATTGTTCTTTGGTCGCCGCTGGGCTGCTGCCAAGCACGCGCACTCGCGCACAAAATAACAACACTGGAGGCAAGAGGAGTCAGATGCTTGCTGTACTTTCTTATTTTAGCTTTATTTGTTGTTAACTGCACTTAAAAAAAAATCATATATAATCGTTTTTGTCTCATCTTTTGCTGCTAGGCCCCGTCCCAATACTTTTAGCCTTTTTAGGAGCTGAACCGTCAGCAGACTGAGCTGTTAGCTCGTTCGGGTATCCAATCAGTGCTCTTCTTGAAAATGCATTTAATGCTGTTGCAAATCTCCATACCGGCTGCAAAGTCGAATATTCATGCCCTCAAGAAAGCGTCATGGGAATTGAAAGTCTTTGTGGGGTTCAACATGAAAGGACAGCGACTGATTTAGTGGCGCAGCAGCGGCTGTGTGAGCGTTTGTCACCTGGCAGGTCAAAAAGATGCGAGCTGGTGCGCGTCTCTCCTGGCAACAGGAAATGAAGCAAGGCCACTTCCTGTCTGTTGTTATCGGCGGTTGTCACCCCTGCTCGCTCGCCCCCAATTTGCCGCTGCCGCCGTCTCCTGCTCTTCGTTTTTCAGAGCAGAAGACTTTGGTTTGCGTGAGGCGCTTGGCAGCAACGACAAAGCGTTCGCCTGTTCCTCTTCCTTCGGCCACGAATCACGTTGACACTTTCCTCACACAGACTGGCTAACGGTTTGCCAGTTAGTGGCCATCTGCTAATGCGAGTTGACCACTTTCAGTCACTGACACCCACGTCACTCACCAAACCAGGCCTCACTTTTCCAAGGTCTCCCTTGAAATCCAATGACTGAGCATCTCCTTATTCTGCCTGTCGCTATACGTCGCTGGCACAGAGAGATGAACAAATGGACGTTATTCGTCCACGAATCGATTCGATGGAAGTTTCTCATTGGATTGCGTCGGATGTTGCGGCGAGTGGCACTAGTCCAAATGCTTTTCGTCTGATTGATTAATTAGTAAAGTGAAGGCATGGCTTGTCGAGGTGCGTTATGGGAGGGAAGACATGTTGGCGCGTTGCCTCCGGGTTACTTCCTTAGCCTGCCTGATTAATCAAACCAACAAGAAACTATTAGCTTCTTGTTTTCTCATACGATGCGTTTGTGTCTCCTCCCCAGCATGTGGAAGGGCCTCAACGTCAACTGCACGGACAGCTCGGGATACACGCCGCTGCATCACGCCGCGCTCAACGGACACAGGTAACGAATGCACACACCAGCTTTTGTGTGTGTGTGTCTTGACGTGCGGGGAAACGTAAGCAGGGAACAATTAGTCCCGCCTCTTGCTGCGGCCGCGTGATTCATAAGAAGCAGGAATAAAAGGGCACGCGGCAGCCTTCCCATTCCATTCACGTTGCCCCGTACAAGTAAATAGTTCTCTCTCAAAACAGAAGTTCTTGGCAATTTAGCATCGGCCATCTGTGTAGTAAGTGGTTCAAAAGGACAAAATCTCTCTGCCAAAATCCTTTCAGAAGGACCACCTTTTTTTTTTTTTTTTTCGGTCCACTGATTTATTGTCGCTAGGTAAAACTAGCTTTTTCAAAAGAATTCTCGGTGGTGCTTCTGAGTTCCAATTTGGCTGCCTCCAAGCCATATGATGCTAATTGAAAGTGGCTAATGTGTCGTCCCTCCAAACAAGGTCTTGACAACACGGCGGCGCGGATTAGCCGGCGAGCCACCGCCTTCCCGCAGACGGAGGATTAGCGGCGTGTTTTGGGGGCAATTATGTGGATTTCCTGCTGCAGATCAGCGGGCCAGAAGGGGCGGGGGGGCCTTACAAAAGGAATCTGGAAATATTATTCATTTAGTCATTTATTTTTTTTTTTTTCCAAGTCCCAGCGGCGCCGAGCATCGTTCCGAATGATTGAAATTAGCAGCTTGTTAGTCGCCGCCTCCTCTCTGCTCGGCTTCCCCGGCTGACATTTGGAATGCAAATCAGCCACCTCGGCTGGGGACTTCCTGTTTCGGGAACGCCGACTGTTTGTGGTTAAATAGCCCCGCCGCTTGTTGATGTGATGACACGCTCTTATCGGGTCTCGGGAGTGCGAGCGGCACTGATGGATAAACGGGGACAAAAGTGAGCGTCGTTAACTTTTGTGTTCTTCTTCATCGCCGTCTTCAGGGAGGTGGTGCTGAAGCTGCTCCAGTTCGAGGCGTCGGCCAATGTGGCCGACAGCAAGGGCTGCGTGCCGCTGCACTTGGCCGCCTGGCGGGGCGACGTGGACATCGTGCGCATCCTCATCCGACACGGGCCCTCGCGCTGCCAAGTCAACCAGCAGGTGAGCACAAGAAAAATCAGCCCTTGCCTCCAAATAGATGCCTCAGAAAAAAAAAAAAAACAGGACTTCCTTCGACAGCACAGGTGTACCTAAAGTTATGTCTAGCGAGTTTATTCTGTCGTCCGAGAGGCGCTTCCACTTCTTGCTCGGTCAGCTGTGAATCCACATAAAAGATCGATGTGTCGTTTGGGGTGTTCATGACGCGCCGTATATTTTCCCCGTCGTCGTCTTGTCCTCAGTCGACACGCACACGTCACAAAGTTTGTCCGCAAGGGAAGTAACCTAGGAGTAACCTGCGAGTGCGTGAGAAGGCCGTAATAAGCGCGAAAGGTCACCAGCGCGGGAGAGAGAGGTACCTGATGGATGAGGGAAGCCTGCAGTGTGGGATAATCGGAGGTGAGTGGATGTCAGGAGGCGGCGGTAAACCCCAGCCAGCTCGCCATTTAGCGCCTAATTGCTCCCGCGAGTTTAAATCCGCGGCTGTTTTTGTTTCTGGTGTGTGTGCGCGCCCCCCGTGTCGGTGTGAAGTGATGGATCGTGAGAAAGAAACTGTACTGCTTCTGCAAGTTGTGAATTTGTCTTGGGGTCAGCGTTTTCAGGGCCCACCCACCCCAGCATTGAGCAGCTTTAGCATTAGCCACAGTTTTCCTCACTCCTGTCAGATGACTGGCAGTCGAAGGAGGAATTACCAAAGACATTTTTCAGTCTCGGGTTTGATATTAGATTGTTACACATTTCAAATTGGGTATGATAAATATTTAAACGATGAAAATGTATTTTTGCTGTGTAAGGCACCTTGAGGGTTCATCGCATTCCGTTATGTCCCTGCGAGTGTGGCCTGAAGCTAACCTGAAAGTTCTCTTTCCCACCAAACAGAGGTTCTTTTAAATACATGCAAGACCATTTTAGTTTGACAGTGAACCTCAACTGGCCGCGAAAGCACTCAAAGCAAAACTTCCCCGCAGCTCGAATCGCCCCCGTGATGATGATGTCATGATTCAAGAAGCAATATGTAATAGGCAAAGCTGAAACGGAGCCCGTCTCGTCGTGTGTCATTAGCGGAAAGCCGCCTCTCCCCAACACAATCAGTGGCGGCGCCCGCTCACTATCGGAAAACTGTCCGCAAGAGCGTAATGGAAATAAATGGCCCGCGCCGCCAAGATGGAGCGCCGGGTCTTCCCTTTGTCTCCGCCGCCCTCGCCTCTCAGCTCGCGCCGTTCCGCCCGCTGTCGCCCGGTCATCCCCGGCCAGCCCCTCAGAACAAATACGTGTTCTCGTTTAAAATGAATAAAATAGGCGAATGGGGCTCACGGGAGGCGGGGCTGTGTCACAGTCAGGAGCCAATCGGGAGGTTGCAAAATGTCTCCTGGGATGCGTCATCTGGATGAGCAAATTTTAATTTGCCTTAAATTAAACAACTAATCCCAACAGCAAGCTGCACGTTTACACTTCCTTCTTTTCAATAACAGGAACACTTTGACTTCCTGCCGCCTGCGGCTTTATTAATTTTTAAATAACACTTTGCACTTATTACTGCCTACTACCGCTCCCAATCGGGTGTTACCGCTGGTAAGTCGTAACACCCGCAGGGACATGTCGGTAAAAAAACATTTTGCAGCATTTGAGCTTGTTCAAAGCTAAAATGGCCCCAAGATAAGGTTAGAGCTCCCCCTGTTGCTCTGGCATGCATTGAACATCCTAAAATGGTTTCTCGGTGTTTTTACTTTCCACAAAGTGCTTGCAAAAATCTGTCTTTACAGCTGGGGCACAGTCTAATATCCAAATCAAAGCCCCCTCGGTGGTTGCAAGTGGCCAATCCAGTGTGCTTATCTCCTCCGCTGCGCCTGATAATGGACTGACTAATGCAGTCACAGTGTCGTTATTGCCTCTAAATACAGCGCATCCGTTGTCCATTTTTTTTTTCCCCACCCCACCGCCACTCTGGCACATAATGCACCCCTAATTGTCCTGGTTTGTCGCACCGACCGCACACCGTGATGGATGACGCTGCGTTCGCCGACGCTTCATTACGCATTGATGAAAGGCGCTATGTCACGGCGGCGTTATTAAAACCATATTACGCTATGTAAACGATGATGAATCGACCGTTTGAACAAATGGGAGGGGCTTGGGGGTTCGTGGTGCGTTTAAGGGAGGAAAAATGTGGGAAATTTAGATCTCATTTAGATGCACTTAACATCTGTAAAATTGGGTGAGTTAGTTTATTGCTAAAAAAAAAAATGCAAACAACTATTGATAGGCTAACAAGAGACATTAAGGTGGCAATGTAATAACATACATATGGGCACGTATTCTTTATCCTCTTCAATAAACAACTAATATAAACATTTTTGCTGGAGAAAAAAAAATTACACACTCAGTCCTTGCGATTCATTTTGGTTTCTTGTTGAGCAGTTTTGTGCCACCCTTGAATGGTATCCATTTTTCTATGCGAGAGCCCTTTGCACTGGGGAAAAATAAAACGTGCTTAATTTGTCATTGGGTTCGGATAGTGGTTATGAAGTGCATTGTGTCCTATGTGGCTCCCCAGTAGCTAATAATTTCCCCCCCGACCCCCACAAGGTAAAGTGCGATTTCATCCACGGGAATATAAGAATAAAAATATTGGCAAGAGATCTCAGTGCAGTTGCGCACTTCATCCCGCCATGTTGGTGTCAGTCAAAACTCCCCTGGGGGCCTTGACATGAATATGTACATCATATGTCTGCGCTATGGCTGGCGGCCAATCAATTTTTAACACCGTTCTGGAGCCTTAATCCCCGCGGGGCCACATTTTCTTCACTCGGTTCTCTCGCCCCCCTAACTCCCCCGAGGGGGACAAGCGGTGCCGGCGATCTGATCCCCGGAGGGAATGCCAAACAAACCCTGCCGAGTTCAAAATGGTGTGAGAAGCGCAAACAGACCAGACCTTGCCTTCTGGATCGATTAATCACTTGGCTCTTGTCCGTGTAAAGTCCACCATTGTTGCTTTGCTTTGTTCCACATATTTGACTTGAATGTTAAGTGTTCCCTCCCCGCTCTTTTCCTCCCCCGCTTCCCTTTTGTCCAAATCCCTTCCTCATCCCCGCATCCGATCCAGAACCACGAGCGGGAGACGGCGCTGCACTGCGCGGCGCAGTACGGCCACTTGGAGGTGGTGTCGGTGCTGCTCCAGGAGCTGACGGACCCCACCATGAGAAACAGCCGGCAGGAGACCCCCTTGGACCTGGCGGCGCTCTACGGACGTCTGCAGGTATGAAAGTGTTTGCTTTTCAGGGTACAGCCCCCCGCCCACTTCGTTGGGTTCACCACTCGCGGAGGTTTTGTATGCCGTTGTGCGCAATCAAAGCGGAACAACGGAGCGGCATTACTTTTTCTTTTCTTGCCGCTCGCGCGCGGAATTCGTCACTTTGACCCTCCTAGCTTAGCGCCGCCATAGGCATGCAGCTCAAAGGGGGCGTGGCGTACGTCTCCCTACGCCTGTGACTCATTTTGCTGCGACGGCTCCTGAAAGGGCTCCGTCCTTGGCTTAACCCTGCACAACATCACAGAAATAGGCACCAAAAGGAGGCCGCAACTGCGCGCACGCCGTAATACTAGCACACTCCTGTCATTCGACCACACCCGCTTCCTTCTTCTCCGAGATGGTTTTCGCTGCAACCACGCAGCGGCCATGAATCTTTAATGAGCGAGGCGGCATCGCATGACTATGAATGAAAATGTTGCCGTGGCGGCAAGAGGTCAAAAGTTGAGCCCGGCGCCGTCACCGCGTCTCGTGTGCCCCCAGGTGGTGTGCATGCTGGTGAGCGCCCACCCCAACCTGATGGGCGTGCGCGGCCG